GTTAGTTAGTTAGTTAGTTAGTTAGTTAGTTAGTTAGTTAGTTAGTTAGTTAGTTAGTTAGTTAGTTAGGTTTATTATGAAATAGGTCTTAAATTTAATTTCACTTGGCATTAAAAAGTCTTAAAAAGTCTTAAATTTAGCTTTCCTTAAACTGTAGGAACCCTGATTCAGTTTGTTTAATCTTGTTTGAAAACAAAGACATTTTATTTTGTTGAGGTAACAAGCAATAAAGTTAATCAAATTTTGGTTAAATAGTTTTTAAATTAAATTACAGTGAGCATTAAGGTTTACTTTTGGAAGTTGGTGATGCAACACGGCAACGTTACTTATTAAAATTATGCCGTTTGACCTCATCTAGGAATCAGATTTGAGCCTTTGAGTATAAAGTTGGAGGACCCCTGATTTTTGCTTTCAAATCTTAAATCTTAAATGAAGTGCAGTAATTACCGCTGTTGTTGCAGAGCTCACTTTGCTCAGTTCTCAAACACTCAGCCGCCTCTTAGTTTCTCCGTGTAACACCAGCGTTCATGTCTGCATGTCTTTAACAAACTCCAGGAAGTGTTGAAACACTTTCAGTGGTGTTGCTGCTTCACGCTGGAATCTGTCCAAGTGCGAGCCGTTTTAGGAGACTGTGTTTAAGAGTTCGGACTGGGCACCCCTCCCGGCTCTGTGTTTATGGATAGTCAAGCACATTGTGTTATAAAAGCCATGATGAATGCAATTGTGTGTGTGTGTGTGTGTGTGTGGAGCTGTGTATCGTTTTACTCTGATCATCCGAGGATATTTAGTTGGGCTGGAAATTGATTGAATCAACTGGATGGCAGGCTGGAGTTTCTACCTGTTAAATGAGTCAATTTTTCAGATTTTGTTTCTGCGCATGAGCGGCCGTGCATATATGCTGTTCAGGAGCTGGAGCAGGGAGAGGCAAAGGGAGGGAAACCTTGTTAAAGGAAACATCTGTCTCTTCTTTCAAGACTCCAAAAATGGGAGGATGTAGAGAAAAGTGCTGAGGAGTTGGTGTGTCTTTTTACCTTGTWGAGAACTTGAACTAACTGGCTAAAACAAATAAATACATTTTGTTGATGTGCTAATATTTGCAATAAATAATATAAATGGATAGTTTATTTTATATCACCTAATCTTTCTAGGTTAGATTTTTAAGTTGATGTTGTGATATCTTAGAAAAGGAGTATAATGCCAGTGAGGTCATTCAGGGCCAGTTTGGTAGGACTCTGTTTGCGTTTTTAAGAGGATAAAAACTGTGAAAGGRCGTCAACGAGTGCAGTGTCACACAGTGGTGTTTTCATTGCAGATTTAATCCTGAATGTTGCCAAGTTAAACCATACAAACATACTTCTACCCTAAAAGATACAGTATTTTATGATGATGAAGATGTTCTCAGCTTTGCAGATTTCTTAAAAAGTACTGCTTCGAGCCAGATACTGGGTTCCACACAATAGTATTTTAAGGTCTCTACTTTAGCTGWTGCCAGTGTTGCCATATTGGGAAGATCTTCAAATACTCAGTTTCTGTTTCAGCTACACATGTTTCAGATTGAGCTCAAATGAAGCTCAAGTATGCTGCATGTTCTGTCCGAAAACTAAGCCTTTGAGTCCAAACTGAGCTGTCCTCACAGAGGGAGGTGATGAGCAGAGACACTATGTTTGGTAAAACGTTGAGCCGAAACCAGTAATCTGCGATACTTGACACTTCAGATGTAGACAGACCTCATTTACTGATGTAAAAGAGAGATATGCAAATGAAAGAAGGAAACGAAAAACTTAGAATATAGCTCACACGGTTTTACCCTCTTTATTTTTTTGTATTTCTGCGTGAAAGCGGAGTGCTGTGGCTTGTTTTGGCTGTTGGACGTGCCATTTGAAACGACAAACGTTCATCAGCAGGCCTGTTTGTTTATACGTAAGGAATGCCAGGCTTTCCGTTCCAGCGCTTGCATTCCCAGAGGGGAATAAAGTTGGTTTACTCTTATTTGGTCATTTATCCCGTCAACTTGTAAACAGCAGCACAGGACACTTTGGGGTTTATTTACATACATGATAATTAAGCGGATGTGTGGACCACCGCTTAAAACCTCTGAAAACATCACACATTCAGACACATCACTCTGGGGATRCCTGTAGATTGACATGTCCACATGTTTTGTTCTTGTGGCTGAAACATCTGCTCTGTTGTAAATACAGTAAATCTTAACCAAAGCAATGTGTTTACATTGTGTTATGATCTGTGTGATTGTGGATGATGGTCTGAATGTGGAGAAGAAGAAGAGCACAGTGCATTCATTTCTGTTACAAACAAAACATCTACTGTATCTATCCTATTGAGCTAGCTATGTAGCTAATTAGCTAATTGACCTATGTAGTTAGCTGTATAGCTAGATAATTAGCTTATTGACATATGTAGTTAGTGTGTAGCTAGCTAGTTAGCTGTGTAGCTAGCTAATTGACATGTAGCTATGTAGCTAGAAAGTGGATGGATGGATGGATGGATGGATGGATGGATGGATGGATGGATGGATGGATGGATGGAGAGAGAGATAGATAGATAGATAGATAGATAGATAGATAGATAGATAGATAGATAGATAGATAGATAGATAGATAGATAGATAGATAGATAGATAGA